AGGCAAGATTCCCACACCTGGATGAAGTTGCCCACTGGAGTCTACACTTCCCCGTCCCAGTGTTCAGGGTTGCACTGCCCTGGCCAGTACCTGCCCCTCCACCACCACCTGCCCCTCGCCCATCCCCTCACAACCAATATCAGCCCCTAAGGGACAGCCCACCCACAGAGCTACTGCGCCCGTTACTGCAGGCCACACCCCTTCCACTATAGTACACCGACGCTAGATTTGGCTCACGTCTATTCACACTATGGAAGAGCCGTAAAGCCTGACTCTGAACGTCCTCGGGTGAATGAGAAAAACTGCGTAGGGCTCTAGCGCAGAGAAAGGATGAGAACTGGATACAACAGAAGAGCACAGGAAGTGGAGGAGGGAAAAGAACTAGGGATCAGAGATGCCCGACGCATACCTGACACAGCTTATAGGGAACTCAGTGACAAACCACAGCCTAGAGCAACTGTCGAGGCTGGGATGCAGCCCTCAGCACACAGGTAAATGCCATCCACCCACATGCTGGACGCTACCGTGCACGGTAAAGGACGTACCTCCCGCTCCCAGCTCTCCATCCTCAATTTCTTCCACTGTTCTCTCTTGGAAAAGTAATCAGGATACATTGCTTTCTCAGAAGGGTGCCAGTAATCTAAGCACCATTCCGGAACCTGCCAGGAGAGAAAATCGTGTTATTCCACAGGCTACCGTTACAAACAGCATGGATGTGGTCCCAGGGACTCTTACTATCAGTTACGGGGTGGAGAGATGGCTCAGCTGGTAAAATGCCTGCCACTCTAGCCTGAGCACCTGGAAAAGCAGACATGGTGATAAGCGTCTGTCATACTAGTGATGGGCAAGGGAAGATAGAACTCACTGGCCACCAAGCCTGGCCAGAACAGTGGGCTCCAGATTCAGTGAGAGTGTCTCAAAATGAAAGTGAAGAGTAAGTGACTATACACACACACACACACACACACACACACACACACACACCTATACATACGTGTGTATGTAAAACTGTCACTGTCTAGGCAATAGAGAGCAGAGAGCAGCAGGCATGGGAGTTGGAGAGAATGCCTCAGAGGAAAGGGCCTGTGGCTCACACATTGCCGTTAGTCTGAGAAAGCTGACATCACTCCTCTCTGGCTAGTATTTCCAAAGCATCAAGAATTATGGAAGCATTACCTAAGCATCTCAGCAGTGTTCAGCACCAACCCACACTGACTAAGTATGCACCAAATACTACAGCCACAAGGACACTGCAAAGCTGAGAGCTGAATTTATGAAAAGAGGAGAGAAAAGTTGAGTTGCCAGGGAAAGTCCAGCCACTGCTCCCAAGGCGCCTGGCTATGCAGCTGAGGCCCGGGCCGGGGACAGGTGGCCTCTTGAAAAGCAGCTGCGATGGATGTGCAGCACCGCCTACCTTGTAGCACTCGTACCTCTCGTGGGAGGTGCCCCCAGGAGAGTCAGGGAAGATATACGGCTGAGGGTGCTGATTTTGCCAGAATTCTTCTTCTGCCTCCTTCAGCAGCTGTGTAGCCTTCATCATATCCTTCTCATTCCTGTGTTCTTCAAATCGGGCTCTCAACAAACAAGCAAAGTACCGGTATTTTTCCCTTAAATGAAAATGATTGTGGACATCAGAAGAGTTTTTCTACTTGGTGGGAAGCTCAGCACTCCTACAGACACACCCCAGATGAGCACTTCCAGCACCTCATCAACCTCCTGAGTAGCTGGGACTGCTGCACCTGCAGCCTCCCAAACAGCAACAGCAGGCACAGCCGGGCGGCTTCCCTCTCATCAGCAACAGACTGCATTAGCACAGCCTGGCCACTTCCTCTCTCCTCCAAGGAATGAGGATTTTAAAAGGGAGAGAGGCAATAGCTTTTGAGGGTTTGTTCAATATGCCTTCATTGACAACTACTACAGGTCCTCCCATCTTGTGCTAGATGCTGTACCACATCTGGAGATGCACAGATGACTAAGGGAGCTATGACCCGGTGGAAAGAATTTTGCTCAAATCATGTGGGTGATCCTTAAATGGTGATTTTCACACTGCTCACAAGCTGTAGGTATGTAAGAGTCTGGTGTTGACGACACTGTGAGCAGACAGACAGACGGGGCCTCTGACAACAGTCCAGGGAAGAGATGGCAAGGGCCTAAGTCAGGGAACTGTGACAGCAGACAAGACTTAGGAAAAGAAGCCAATACCCATCTAGATGACTAAGTCATGAGTGCGAGCCTCGCTACACAAGAGTTAAACTAGCTGGATAGTCTGGTAAGTTACTTCATGTATCTAAACACTAACATAAAGATCCCATGGGCTAACATACAAAAGCACTGTTCACAAAGTGGCTGGCATATTTCATGTGCTTAGTGATTTAACAGGCATTATTAGGAGAAAGTAACTTTCGAAAAGCGGTGTCTAATAAGGCATGGTGTACAAGATGAGTGTCCCTGGCATAACATACAGGAAACTAGGGACTCCTGGAGGACACACCTAAGACTACAGACTAGTGACTAAATTGCTAACAATGCCATCTGAGAATATAATCAGTATAAGTGATGAAACAACTTGGCTTTAAAGAATCTGGATAGACTTGGTTTCAGGAGCCCTGGCTGACCTCACTGGACACACAGCTAACTCAAGCACCAACACTGAGGCTATCCACAGGATCCAAAGCACCACAGAGCCTTGGGATGGAACCAGAGAACAGCCTAGGAGGGCTAGGGAAAGCACCGTGCAAGCCTTACGACCTGACTGGAATCCCAGAACCTAATTACAGTTGGACATGGGAGCACCGATCAGTACTCACAGTTCTCCTCCTCAAGAAGAGAGGGGACGACAGGAGAGTTCAGGTTGTGGGCCAGCTGGTCTGGCATACCCGGCGGTAAAAAGCAAGAGACCCTGTTTCAAGCAAGGTGGGAGGTCCCGACTGACATTGGGTTGTCCTCTGACTTTCACACATGTGATATCTACATCCGTAGTTTGTTTTTAAAGAAAGTGATACCTCAGACTGAGAGAGGGTGTCAGGTTTAAGATACTTTGGGCCAGAGTATTCATACTAGCTAGTTTGATCATCCCCTTCATGATTATGAACCCCAGTATGTCCAGGTGGGTTACAGCATTCTCTGAACTCCTGAAGGCTCTAGCTTCTTTTGTCAGACTGATTAATTCTGTTATCTATGAGTTTGCCTGTCACTTTCCTCAATAATCCACGGGGACTGCAGCTTAAAAATAAAAAAAAAAAAAAAAAAAAAAAAAAAAGGATTAACTGCTGTTTATTTGCCAACCAGAATAGAAGCTGAAAAGCCTTAGGAAGATGCTAACAATTGTACAAAACTGTACACAGCCCCCAGTTGTGTAACAAAGAGGCAGAGTGGTAAACTTGCATTCAGGGAATCTTTCTGCAGGCCGTCCAGGGCTATTAAGTTTTTCATCACTTTCTTGGAAGTCCTTCATGTAAGATTAGGCTTTAGTGTGAGAGTGTGGAAGTCAGTATACACACATCTTGGATTGTTATCCACCTTGCATTTCTTTTAGGCCCTGAAATTCTACATGTTTAACACTAAATTGTTATTTATTTATTTGAAAAAAAAAAGTTCTTAAGTAGCACAGGCTGGCCCCTCAAACTCATTATGTAACCAGGGATATCTCTGCCCCCCCCAGCATATGTATCACCATAAGAGGTTCTCAAAATCAAGAATAGTCACAGTTGGTTAAAGGAATAGATTTATGTAGGAGGTGAGAAAGACGCGATCGTAACGAGAAAGAGCGATCGCATAAAGCTAAATTGAGAAAAGATGATGTTTTTGCATCAGAAACCGAGATTTTACATCTAACTTGGCCACGCAGCTGAACAACCTTGACCAAGTCAATCCCTGGGCCTGCTCCTCTGTAAAATGAGGCTAAAATAATCACCAACTTCTAAGTTACTCTGAAAGCTGAACAACACGCCCGTATTAATAACTACTAACACCAGGGGCGACGGGGCCACGAGAACGCTAGCTGGACCCCTAACAATGACAGTCCTAGGTCTTTCCAGTCCTGCGCTTCACGCAGCGCTCTGCGCACGCCGGCCCCACCGGGCACAGAGGTCTCCGCGGCATCAAGCAGACGGGACCGCACCCGACCCGGTGCAGGTCAAGGGCGCGCTCCGTCGGCCGCGACCCCGAGTCCTTGAGCAGCCGGGCCCACAGGGCTTCCTGCCCCCGCCCCCGAGCCCCGGGCGGCCCCTCTTCCCACCTGTGGACACACCACGACTCGAGGTGGCGCAGCGCGCGCTTGTACAGCCGCAGCACCTTCTGCTGGTGGCTCAGGTAGGCCCCGGGGGCGCAGAACGCCATGGCGCCCGGCTCAGCCTTCAGCCGCCGCCGCGGGGGGTGCCGGGAACCCGGAAGGGGCGGCCCGCGAGGGAGGCGGGGCCGGAAGGACGGGCGCGCTCTAGGCCACTTCCGCTTCCGCCGGGGAGGAGCGTGCCGCGCTGTCATGAGTCGCTTCAAGTTCGTGGGTAAGGGCGGGTTTATCCTGGGCCGCGGCCCGTGCTGCCGGCCTCGGGTCCACTCTCGCGGCTTGGCCTTTCGGGGGTACAGAGGGTTCCCGGACGCCTCGGGTGCCGGCAGCGAGGGTTCCGGCTCTAGCTCGGGCATGATTCCCTGCGTGTGTATCCATTTGCGAGAATGCACGAGTGTGCGTGATTGTCGTTTGTGCCTGTCTTGTGTTTTATTCAATTGCAGATATAGGGATGAGTGTCGGGGTAGACTGCTCGCCTAGCATAGGCTAGCCCCCGAGTCTCCCCTCCCCCAAGTCCCCAAAAAAAGAAAAAGGAAGCGCCTCCCCCAAGCTTGTCGCTGTAGTCTCTTCTCTTCATTCCCCGCCGACAGTATCAGCTCCCTCAGCCATCCGCTCAGGTCACAGACGACTCTGTAGGCTTGGCATTGGGTCCCAGCTTTCTTTGCTGGCTTCGCCATCTGGTGATAAACAGTAGTCCATAGACAGGCGGAAAAGAAACTGTGCTCCCTGGCTAGTACCACGATCCAATCAACAGCTGGAGAATGCGGCAGGGATTCAAAATGATACTTTGGAAAACTCGGGGGACGTTGTGAGAGGTGAGGTTGGAAGGAAGGGTAACTAGGAACCCGAAGGGTTCCATTACTTAGGTTTCACTCCGTGTGCATGGAGTCTCAGTGAAGGCTTTTCAGTAAATCACTGAGTGCCAGATACATGAAAAGAATCATGCCCTCTGGGATGCCGTTGTGGGTAAATACATTATGAACTTTGTGTTCGTGGAATTTCCAGCTACTTAGGGGTGGGAAGTGGCAGGAATGAGTCACCCTGATAGTCACTTCGCAGAGTTAGCGGCAGATAAGGAGATCAGGGCAATGAGAGGACTGATTGATTGTGTTTGTGGAGAAGGCACACCCAGAGACCGCGGGCTGCGAAATACCTGAATTTGAAAAGGAAGGCCACCCGGGACTATTGGATTCGGTTGATCGTGAAAGGACATCCGGGTGGACACATCATACAGGCACTTGGAAAGGTAGCCAGGTACTCATGAGAGTTGTTATCGTTATACACCAAGATCCGAGAGATGCTTTAAGCAATGTATTCTCCAAAGGCATTGTATTAAAGTCAGTGGAACGCTAAGAAATCTAGTGGTGAGTTAATTTTCATACTAAGAGATGAAATCCTGTGACCAGGCAAAACAAATGTGAGGGAGAATGTTAAGAGGCTTAAAAACAAACAAACAAAAAAACCTCTGAGAAAACCTGAGGTGATGAAGGTTAGGGGTTCTGGGGTGTTTGACATGAGGTGTTAGGAAGTGATATGTCCTGGAGAGGGGACACAGCCCTCACTCCTTGCCTCTGCTGTCTCCATACTGTTACTGGCTGTTTCCAGGTTCTTGATCCAAAGAACAAAAAAAAAAAAAGGATTCAAATTCACACAGGTTTGCAGGAAAACTTTGTTTTGTGAAGTGACAATACAGCTTAAAAAGAGTGTGTGTGTGTGTGTGTGTGTGTGTGTGTGAAGGTTTTTTTTTTTTTTTTACTTGCAATGTTTTTATAATAAAGTTTAAAATATATTTAATGTGGGTGTGAGGGTGTAGCAGAGAAAACAGTTTGCTTTTGTCTTACTCCTTGTTATTTGAAAGCCATCTTAGTATGTATGTAAACGCGTCACTGTGTGCATGCTCCAATAAAGTCTTATAGACATTAAATCTTGAACTTAAAAAGTTGATTTATTTTACCCATGTGGGAGTGGGTATATGTGTATAGGTACCTATGAAGGTCAAAAGAGGGGGCCAGGTCTCCTGAAGCTAGAGCCAGGCAGTTGTGAGCCATCTGATACGGGCACTGGGAACCCAGCCTGGGCGCTCTGAAAGAGCAGCAAGTACTCTTAATAATTTCCACAAATAGCAAGATAGTCTTGATTTGTAAAAACAATTTAAAATGCACAAAGTAGGCAATAAAGCTGGACATTGTGCACACCTATAACTTCAACCCTTTGGGATGGAGGCAGAAGCCTGTCCTGCATGGAGAGGCCCTGTCTCACAGCGACACAGTCAGCAAGAGGAGTTTTGGACCCCCTGCTGCATCCTTTTGTTAATTTATGTATTTTCTTGTCCCTGACTTGCTGGAGAAACTGGGCTGGTTGCCTCACTTTTTGGATTTGTCTGTTTGTTAAACAGTGGTGTGAGTCCCTTGATCTCTGATGCTCGGGAGTTCCTGACCTTGAAATTAGACCTCAAGGCTAACAAAATCCAAAATCATTTTAAATACCTTGTTTGCTGTCTCTCTGTGTCCCTAAATCATAAGTAACATCACTTGGCATGATTCACTAAGCTGTGTGTGCTTTAGCTTGCAGCTACAGCTGAGAGAGAGAGAGAGAGACCAACTCCAACTGTGCAAAAACTTCCCCACTTCAGTTGGTCCTGGAAAATAAATACTTGCAGCTTTTATTGAAGACGGCCTTTTTCTTTTTTTTTTCTTTTTTTTTTTTTTTTTTTTGCTTTTGAGAAGGATTTCTCTGTGTATCCCTGGCTGCCCTGGAACTCGATCTAAGACAGCTATTTTTAAAACTAATAAAATGGAGTGGAGGCATTCCAGTGCGGGCTCCTTCCATCAGAAGAGGCACTGGTAGCTCCTGTTGCTGTGACTCCCATTCCTTCCCACTTGGTTTTCTGCTTTTCGCGCTGTTTACGTCTTTGACCGGACTGGCTAAAAGTTGGTTTTTATATACTATTTGTTTATTTTATTTTTGCTTTTTTGAGACAGGTTTTCTGTGTAGCCCTAGTTGTCCTGGAACTCACTCTGCAGACCAGGTTGGCTTCCTCTGCCTCCCAAGTGCTGGGATTAAAGTCATGCACTACCACTGCCCAGCAGTATTTGTTTACTTCTGAGTTAATTTCCAATAAGCATACTTTTAATTTAAAAGATACTTTCCATTATCATAGCACATTTTGAACAAGGAAAATAAATAGGATTTTACCTGTGTTTGTTTTTGAGATCCCATCAAAATAGACAGGGATCTGGGGAGATAGTTAAATGGGTAAAATAAGGGCCAGAATTCAGATCCTTAAACTCTACCTTGGTGGGCATGGCATCCTGCCAGTAATTTTGGTCCTTGGAAGGCAGAGGATCTCCAGGCTAGCTGGATACCAGCTGTAGGGGCAAGTTCTAGGGTCAATTGAGAAACACTGCCTCAGTGAAGAAAGTAAAAGTAAATGGAGGAAGACTTCTAACGTCAATGCCAGGGCCACACACATGTGCACCCATCTGCATACATGTATGTGAACACTAATACACATATTTGCATGTACACACGGTGGTGGGCAGTCAAACAGCTTGACTCAGTTGGTACTTGGATAACACAGTTTTGCATTGGGAGCGTTGAAAACTGAAGATGCTAACAAAACAGCTCAAATCTCATACAGCATTGACATGTCAGAGTTCTTGTACTGTGCTTGGTAATGGTAATAATTACCTATTACAGGGCTTTTGATGTGCACATTGCTTTTATCTTCATCCTTGGATTTGAGTCATATTCCATTGCCAGAGAATAATTCTGCTCATCCAAGCAGATAATGGAGGCTCAGCAGGGGCCAAGAGTGTCCGGCTAATAACCGGCAGTGGCAAGAATTCCGACTCCAAGACTCACTTTCTTTCCATACTGTCATTGTGGTCATTTCATTTTCTTGTACTTCGTGGACCTTGTTCATGGATGGAACTCTTTCTAGTCCATTCATCTGAACTTTCTTTGGTTCCTCTGAATCAGAGTGCTAGTTAATGTAGTCTTTCCATCGATGTTTCTGCTGGGTGGGCTAGGAAGAGGCTTCTGTCAGAGCATTTTGTGTGGGAGACTGGAGAAGGTCTCAGAGGAAACTGATGTGATTCAGAGTGGACAGACAGGAGTCCTTTGCCATGAAACTTGGTGAGGACCTGAAGAGGCTGCCCTTAGTCTGCTTATCAGGGAAGCAGCGGTTCTAATAACTGGCAGAGAGGAAAGGGCCGAGGACTGTGAGCCATGAAGATTCTTGTGGGAAGGGGAGCAGCAGGCTTCCGGGAGTCACCTGGAGTCAGCCTTCTGCCCTCTGCCTCAGGGTGGGCATTGCAGAGTATCTGAGACCTGCTGCCTAGGATTCAGACGAGGGTGAGGAGGACTTCCTCAGCTGAGCCTCCAGTGAATCTTCAGTTCTCTTTTCAATTAGAGTTGGGGAGGGTGTGTCTTAGGATTTCTATTGCTGTGACAAAACACCATGACAAAAAAGCAGTTTGGGAAGGAAAGGGTTTATTTGGCTTTTACTTCCCACATTGCTGTCATCACTGAAGGAGGTTGGGACAGTAACCCAGGCAGGGCAGGATCCTAGAGGCAGGAGCTGATGCATTAGCCATGGAGGGATGCTGCTCAGTGGCTTGCTCCCTCCCTCTGGCTTGCTCAGCCAGCTTTCTTGTAGAACCCAGAGCCATTAGCTCAGGGATGGTACCACCCACATGAGCTGGCTCTCATGGGGGCGTTTCCTCAGCAGAGGCTTCCTTTCTGATGACTGTAGCTTGTGTCAAGTTGACACAAAACCAGCCAGTGAAACTGACCCCTTGTCAACTTGAAACACAAACACATCGCTATTAAGCCATAATCCTTTTCTTATTCATCCCTAAGATCTCACATTAAAAAACATAAGTTTAAAAGCCTCACAGCCTTTGCAAACTCAAACACATTAAAATTTCAGACCCCTTAAAGTACCCAACCTCTTAAAATCCAAAGACTTCAAATCCTTAGTCTCTTTATCGTGGGCTCCAGTAAAATACTTTATTTCAAGAGGGGAAAATCAGCACACAGTTACAATCAAGGTCTGGGACCACTCATGACCTTCTGGACTTCTCTGTAGGTCTGGGTCACAGGTCACTTCTCCGGTCTCATCCTTTGCAGCACACACAGCTGTCTGTCTCCTAGGCTGCAGCTGGCTGCACTCTGCCGCCGCTGCCGCTCTTGGTGGTCATCCCACGGTACTGGCATCTCCAAAACGCCAGGCTCTTCTGCTGCAACTGGCTGCACTTTCACCCACAGCCTCTCCTAGGCTCTCCTCATGGTGCCATGACTCAACTCCGCATGAGCCCTTCAGTCCTGGGCCTTCAGCTGCCACTGAGGTGATCCCTTCACCTACGGCCTCCCGGGGCCTCTCACAGTGCCAAGCCTCAGCTGCTCTCCATGACCCCTCCATGCCTTCAAAACCAGCACCACCTGGGTGACTCTTACACGTTACCAAGTCCTGTTGCCAGCACCAGGTACAACCTTGACCACCTCAGGAACACAGTTTCTCTGTGCTTTCAGGAAATAAATCCCAGAAGATTTCACCTCAGGGATGCGGGTCTCAATCACTACCAGTTTCTTAGCTCCAGCTGACCAGCATCAAGTATCCCAGCACAGCCAAGTTTCGCTTTAGTAGTTCTGGTACCTTGTTAATTACGACTGACTCTTCAGCCCCAGCTAACCAGAACCACAGGATCTTAATTCAAAATAGCAAATGGCCCCATAAAGTCTTTAAACGTCCTTCTGCAACTTCACAAGCCAGGCCTCCATCCTCTGCACTGATGTCAGCATCCTTCCAAGATCCTACAGAACATCCGAGGTCTAAACACTCAGTGGCTTTTCTGGCCCCAAGTTCCAAAGTCCGTCCACCATCCTCCCCAAAGTGGTCAAGTCTGTCACAGAAATACCCCACTACTCTGGTACCAATGTGTCTTAGGGTTTCTATTGCTGCAGGGAACACCATGACAGAAGAACTGGTTGGGGATGGCAGGGTTTATTTAGCTCACACTTCCCCACATTGCTGCCATCCCTGGAGGAAGTCAGGACAGGAACTCAACAGGGCAGGAACCTGGAGGCAGGAGCCGATACAGTGGCCATGGAGGAGTGCTGCCTGCTGGCTTGCTTCCCATGGCTTGCTTAGCCTGCTTTCTCATAGAACCCAGAACTAACAACCAAGGGATGGCCCCATCCACCATGGGCCGGGCCCTCCCTGTTGATCACTAACTGGGAAAATGCCTCACAGCTGGATCGCATGGAGGCATTTCCTCAACTGAGGCTCCTTGCTCTCTGACGACTCTAGCTTGCGTCAAGTTTACACACAAAACCAGCCAATAGGGATGTTTCTGTGTTGAATTGCTTTTGGTTCCATTATGTTTGGGAAAGTTCTGGTCACTTTGCTGATGACGAAGTCTTCCTTGAAACCGGAGCCTGACTGCCTATGAGTTGGCCCCAACATTGAGCCCTTGGTTCAGAGGTCCAGTTTTACCAAGATTTATAGTGAGTCAGTTAGTGGACAGCCCTCACCCTGGTGTATATATATCACCCCTTACCCTCAGGACTCCCGTCACTGTGGTCCACCCTCAGCAAGGATGTGTCCCGTTGAGTTGAGTTAGAACCCTTCCTCACACCTGCTGGGCCTCTAGAAGCTTATCCACTGTCCCTCCCTATTCTCTTGGTCCCGGATCCCCACTTAGCCTTGTTTTGTGGCTTGAGCCTGCTCTCTCTACTGCAGAACCTTCATCATAGCCAGGTGTTGTGACCTCATCTCTGCCCCATCTTGGTGTGCACAAACAAAGGCATCCTTACAAGTCTGAGGCTAGCCTGGGCTGAGTGGTGTGTCCAATTTAAAGAGCCAAACTTAAACAAACCAAAAAGCCTTCATTGCAATAATCCCTCTCAAATAATGGCCCTTACTTTCATTGTCCCAAACAAACATCTTAATAAATATATCCTAATGAATTTCTAAAACACTGTTAGAAACTGAATTGAGCTAGGAAAGCATAGAAGTGATGAAGGCTGTTTTTGTTTTTGTAATTGTCGGTGATGGATGGTGACTACTAACCATAGACCAAACCCTGGGGCAGGGTTATTTAGACAGAAAGGAGCCTTTCCTCCCTGATTCTTGGTTCTCAGCTTGTCCCTACTTAATTTTCTTTCTGTATTTGAAGAAAACCTAGAAGGCGATTTCTTGTGAGCTCTGACATTCCATAACCCTTCTATGTTTGTGGTATGGACTTGTGTGGTAGATGGTCTTTGTATCATAGTAGCCCTCCTACGGAGGAGGGATTCACAACCTCACCCATTTCTGTTGGCATGCTGATGCATGTAACAACCTGTGTTGTGTCCTGCTGGTTCAAATGCTTAGAATTCTCTCTTTGCTCCTGGGTTCTCCAAAGTCCTGTTCACCTCGCAAGGTCTGTCGTAATGTCGGAGCAGCACAGCCTGAGGTACAGCTTGGCAGAAGCCAGGCAGACAGCAGGAGAGCCTGACATGTGGTGGAAGGAGTGTGGAGGTCTATGGCAGGCCGCTGCGACTGCCGGAAGTTGGCCTATTTTCTGTCCACTGCTAGAAGCTGAGGGCGTTTATTTATATAAGGGAGACCTTGGGCAGGGTTGTGACTAGCTTCTCAGCTTACTCCACCTGTCCTTATACTTTCTACAAGGTGTACCACGAGCATCATGTGATATTTGGCAGCGTGCATAGCCTCAGCCCTAGATGCCAGCAGCATTCCTGCCAGCGTTGCCAGATGTGTGAGAACTGGGGCCCAGAGGAGCGAGGGCTACAGAATGTTTCTCCTGTGAGAACCTCCGCCCAGCAGTGTTTAGGAATAGTGTGTCCCTGCGCGCGTGCGCATGCGCGCAAACACACACACACCTGTGCTTAGAATGTCCTTTGCCCTCAGCTCTTAGGCCTACGCTCTGTCTTCAAGACCCAGATCCTCTGTGAGGCTTTCTTCAACGCTCTCTGTAACCCGCTGTCCTCCTCTGTGCCCCATACAGGTGGCAGTTATGTGCAGACTAAAGGGTCCCACAGGCCAGTGCTTATGCCAGGGTCAATCGATGCAATGACAAACAGAGGGGATTTCTTGCTTACAGTGTAGCTTCTGTCATACATTAGATTTGTAGTTCTCATGAATACTGTACATTCCCATAGGGCAAGGGCCAAGTAGTATGTGTACTTCCCAACTCCTCTGATAGCATTTGTGTGGTTGGTGAATAAAGGCAGTAATTCATTCCCCTCTCTGCGTATCTGCTTCCATTGCCGTATCAGACTGGCTTTATTGCTTTTTGCACTTGAGCTTTTGCCTGACTTGTGTTGCTCTCTTCAGAGCTTAGCTCCCAGGACACCAGAGTGAATGTCTTCAGTGCAATCTTGCCCCTTTGATTGGAAAATCGTCAGGCATCCTACCGAACCTGGTGTCTTTAAACACCCCTGTGCACCATACTTGATCTGGCTTTTCTGGCTAGACCCTTTCCTGTGTTTCTCTTCAGCAGCTGGAAAACCTTCGCTTTCTGAAGAACTGCTTTGTTTCCTACCCTGACACTTTTGGGTCTTAGTTACTTTTGTATTGCTGTGAAGAGGCACCATGGCCAAGGCAGCTTAGAAAAGGAAAGGTTTATTGGGGTTCACAGGTCCATGAGTGCATGACCATCATGGTGGGGACCATGGCAGCACACAGGCAGGCTCGGCTCTGGAACAGAAGCTGAGAGCTGACATCTTGATCTACAAGCAAGGAGTAGAGAGAGGAAGCTATGTTGGGGGAGGGGGCATCCTAGTGACACATCCCTCCTACAAGGCCAAGCCTGCTAGTCCCGCCCCCCCCCCCCCCGACAGTTCCACCAGCCGAGCCTGTGGGGGCCATTCTCATTCAAACCATCACACTAACTCATCTGTAACATCCAGGTCCACATTATTTCCTTCTGGGACCTTCTTCTGAGCCAGCCACCAAACTCTGGTAGAAGTTCCTTGACTTACATGTCCAATTTTATGTTTTTAGTATTTTGAAAAATGTCATTTATCGACAATTTCACATGTGTATATGATGTGTTTTAATTCTGTCCCTAATGAGATTTTCTGTCTCCCTAGTGTTCATTTGAACGCTTCATCATTTCATGTGACTAGGTCTACTTTGGTCGCTTCTCCACAAGACTTTAGAGTAGAAACCACATCTTAGTCCACTTTGTATCCCACAGATTTACTATAGTAGTGATGGCAAGTGGCTGGCCCATTGATATTGTTTGGATAAATGAAGGTGCGAATGAAAAGCTTGTTTAGAGGTGTTTTAAGTAAATTTTTAAAATAATTATGTTTTGCTTTTGCTTTTTGCAGATATTGGTATCAACCTGACAGACCCTATGTTCAGAGGAATCTATAGGGGGGTGCAGAAGCACCAAGGTAAATGTCCCTTTTGCTGAGGTGACTTCTGTGAAGACACACTTTCAGCCTCAGCATAACCCACTCTTAAAACTGAAACATTAAAGAACCCTGGCACCTGGTAAAAGTCTAACAGTGCAGCGCTCAGAAGGCAGAGGAAAGAGGACAGCAAGTTTGACCAGCCTGGGCTGCGCAGTGAGAACTTGCTTTAAGACAAAACCCGTCACTGTATGTCAGATAAATCAATAAACTAAGTCAAACAAGCCATATTGGTAAACCGTTGTCCTGCACAACAGGGTGAGCAACCTATCAGTTCCCTCCTGTGAGCACCAGTGTATCACGTTCTCAAGAAACACTTTCAGGGCTCTAGACGGCCCCGTAGTTAAGAGCACGTACCACTCTCGCAGAGAACCCAAGTCCAGTTCCCAGCACCCACACCTACACTGGGCAGCTCACAGATGCTTTCGGACCCACCTCCTAAACCTTGGAAGCCCTCTTCTGTCTTCTGAGAGTGTGTGCATCCGTATGCACATAGCCACAGATAGACAGACACACAGACAGACACACACACACACACACATATACAGACACATACACACATACACACACATACCCTCAGACAGACACATCTCCCCCCACACACATACACACACATACCCACATACAGACACATACTCCCACACACATACACACACATACCCACATACAGACACATACCCCCACACACATGCACACATACACACACATACCCACATACACACACATTGTAACATACACATACCCACCACATACAAACACATATTCACATACAAACACGCACCCACATACATACCATACATAGCCACATACATACACACATACCCACATGCAGACACACTCCCCCACACACACACCCCACACATATGAAGAAAGGAGTCTTTTAGAAAACACCTTTCAGCCAGGGATGAAACGCAGCGTGGCAGAAGAAAGGTGTACTGCCATTTCCCCATCTTCCCCTCCCCCTTCCCATCTGCGTCTCCACTTAGAGACCTAGTATACAGGTGGGACCCGACAGTTGTATCTTAAAGATTCAGCGTAGGCCTCACCAGCAGCGAGTGTGGTGTATTGTCAGGTAAGTTCATGTCCCTCTCCAGTCCCAAGAATACAAGCCAGGGACTGACAGGCTTAGACAAGTGCCATGTCGCTAGGCATTGTGTCTCATGCCAGTTCGTTGATGAGGCTGAGAGGTGATGAAGACCTCATTTGAAAGCCGAGTGTCTGCAGCGGACTGTGCACACTGCCTGAGAGGACTGCCTGTGCTCATTATGTCCCTGCAAACGGGAGTGTGGGTTTTGTGGTTGAGGACGAGAGACTTGTGTACGGTGTAAGCCAAGCCAGAAACCGACCGTGCCGCGCCTTTTAGGAGAGGGTGGGTGGCTTTCCCGAATGCAGGCAATGTTCCTGTCACTTGGAACAAGGAACACAAATGTTTAATTCTTCTGCTTCATTCAGACGTTTGGATGATATTACACATTACTTACGGAATGAAGTTAACTACCAAGTAAATTATACCCTGCTTTCCTTGCCCCGGTGGCACTTAGATTTCATGCTTTGCTGTTGCATGTGTGTGTGTGTGTGTGTGTGTGTGTGTGTGTGTGTGTGTGTGTGTGTGTGTTTCTGACATCAATTATATAGTGGTCAATTACCACACTACTACAGTTCTGCAGTGTATAATCTAGCCAACCTAGGTGCTATATGACTATAAATTAACTAAAGTGGTTTTTGTCTCGAATTTTGTAGTTACTTTAGAAGTAACAATAATTGATCCTATTTACATTTACCATGATACTTAAATATGAAATTAATAATGGAGTTTTTATATTTAATTTTGCTGCCCATTTGTTTCTGGCCCCACCCCTGGGTTGGGAAGATGGCTCAGTACATAAAGTTCTTGCTGTGCAAAACATGAAATCCCAAGTCTGGATGCCTAGCACCCACATTAAAGCTAAGCAGCAGCGAGAACCTAGTGTGTCAGGGAGACAGGTGATCCTGGGCCCTTGCTGGCCAGGCTGTCCATCTCAAACAGTGAGCTCCAGGCTCAACGAGGGTCTCAAGATACACACTAGACAGTGTTAGAGGGAGAGGCAAGGTTGCCCTCTAGCCTATACACATGCGTGTGCACACACATCTCCACACAAATACAAACTTCAGATACACAGCACATGAGTTGATTTGTAGTCTTTGAGTTCATCTTAATTTGGACCTCCTGAGTTCTGCCATTGTCTCATTTTTGATCAAAAAAAGAAAAGTACAATTAAATTATTAATTATTCAGTTTCTTATTTAATACTTCTTTAAGGTTTGCAACTCTAGTTTTACTATATTACAACTAAGTAGCACTGATTTGGCTGTGTTTTAGTACATGGTTATTTTATGAATTTTTACTTTGAGAGAAAAAATCATGAATGCATAATTATGAATAATATCTTGCTATATATATTTACTACAGTTTCTCAATATGTGATTTTTCCTCCACAGATGACTTACAAGATGTAATAGAGAGAGCTATCCAGATTGGCGTTAAAAAGGTAACATCTGAATATTGTTATTGTTGAACTTCTTTGTTTCTAAAATAAGTTTTAATTAAAATGCTGCAAAGTTAAGGTGAAAGCCGGTGGCACACACTTAGTATATATTTCTGCATGTAAATACGCAAGTAAATAGAAATAATTATTCTGTTCACAACTGTTTATGTTGCATAATTCTCAGGTATGTGATCAGAAATGTAGTGCACTGTGATAGAAAAAAATTAAACCTGTACTAGATTTAAAAGACAACTTTAAATAAATGTTATAATCTAATTTGGCGTGTGTTAGAAATAGTCACCAAAACCACATGCATGTCTTACCATAGTTAGTTAGCTGTGGGTCTACCATTAGATAACTGAGAAAGTGTAAATGAAATTCTATTAGTTTAAATAATAAAAACCCGGAGTCAGACATAGAGGAAAATGCTGAGAGATCAGAGAGAAGGAGCCACAAAGGAATGTCTTAGAAGTATGTAAGGTAGTTGTTATGTGGGTCACAGAAAATACTGCATATGGACATGTTTTCATGACATATGTGGTCACATGACAGTTGTTGTGTGGGTCACAGAAAATACTGCATATGGACACATCTTCATGATGTGTAGTGACGTCGCCACTACCAGATCAGGAGCATTGTACCATGGGAGAGGAGACCATGGCCTAGGCCTGCCCTTCCTTCCGTAGGCTTTGTGGAGTGTGGAGAAGGTATAGGTAACGTATATAGACTTGGGTAGAAACTGTCCTACAGAGTTGAAGATCTGTATGTGGGAAGCTGGCCTAGTTTTAAAGAATTAAGCAAGGTTAGCAAAGAATACTTTTCCTGATGCTCTAAATACTTAAGTGCTGTGTTCTGTGGGCATTTGGGATTTTAATTATGACCGTATACTCCCTGTGTATATGCTCAGTGGCTGGTCGTACTGGAGGTTTGAGTTGCCGTATGACAGTACCTATTTTTCATATGCAATTCCACCTTTGTTTTGTGCGCATTCTTTTCCATGTGCACCTACAAGGAGTTCTTTACTTCAGCTTAGAGAGACTTTGCAGTATGTTTAAAAAAAATAAGCATTCAGTGTCCTTAAATCACCCTTTAGAAACTGCATGTTGAACAGCACTGCCTTGGTAGTCACCTTTGGCCCTGGGTGCTGTAACTCTGTCTGACAGACAGATTAGCAAAGGGGAGGGTGTAGGGGAGGGGAGGGTGTAGGGGAGGGGAAGGAAGGGGAGGCTGAGTGGGGCACCCGTAGTGGACTGGCGGGAGGTGTCTGGGGAGCCGATGCCGATGGTCCCCTGGAAGTCAGCTGCTTCTTTCCATTTCAGTTTCTGATCACAGGTGGAAGTCTACAAGACAGTAGAGATGCGCTGCAGCTGGCACAAACAAATGGTACCCTCCTATTACTTTCACCAAAACACAATGTGAATTAATTAATTATGAAGAAGCCTTTCTGAGAACTGCGTAAGGCACAAATACAGTGAACCCTGACTATGGAAATGGCATGGAAGTAGACAGACTTCAGTGGGACGTGGTTACAATAACGAGGGTTAGAGTACTCCTTGGTATATCAGATTTTGATAAAATCCTGTAGTACTTAACAAAGATTATTATTTCAGTAAATAAGGGTAAGTTACCACATATATAATTTATCTGTAAATAATTCTGATATAGAGTTTTTTTGTGCATATTTCAATGTTTGATATGTATTGCTTTTATTTAAAAATCTTTTAAATTGTAAGGAGTTGTTATTGAACATTGGTTTTGTGAATCGGACTTTGTTTTTAAATAATAATATAAAATACCACTTTTAGAGCTAGACAGGAGGCTTGGCAGTTAAGAGCGCTGGCTGCACTTGTAGAGGAGTTCCCAGCAAGAGGCAGCTGCCCACAAGGCGCCACTCAGGGGACACGGGTCAAGGGACAGGCATTCTCTTCTGGTCGCCATGGGCACTGCTAACCTCACACTAACAAAATCAAAATGTGCTGCCCCCCGAGTGTGCGCATCTGCGCAGGCATCCCCGAGTCTGCTCAGATCCCCATGTATTTAAAGTTTACACACTTATGTGCCATCATGTAACTTCTGCATGTGTGCTTTGCTGAGACCTAGAGTTTAGGCTCTACAGTTTTTAAAAATACAGCTATGTTTCTTTTTTGTGCAAAATCTTACCAAGAGCTGTTCTTATAGAAATCTTTATAAAATGCATGCTTTTCTTGAGGCTGTATTGACTCTCAACATTGAAAACAACATCTTCTGAGGACTTTTTGAAGTAGAGAGGAAGATTTTCTTCCATGTTTTGCATTCTCTAACAGCTATGGTTTTAAGATTCTTCTCCCATCTTTATTATTGTCTTCCCTCCCACTCCTTAGAGAGATGTTCACTGCCTCCTGTTACCTGTGGGAGAGTCTGGGGAAGGCTCTGCACCCTTCTATGGGTTCAGCTGTGAGCTCCTGTTAAATTTTAAAAACAAACAAAACTGGGTCTCTGGGTTGAAAGACCCGCCTGGGGCATTGTGCATGGTGGGCATGATACCCAGGCGCTCTTCCGCTGAGCCAGTCTAGCAGCCCTGCTGCGTCAGACTCTGCTCTGTGTCCTCTCTGTTAGAGCTGCTGAAAGTCTGCCCTCCAATAGTGAGTTTTGCTTTTCATTAGTAAAAGAAAGCCCGGTCTTCCACTCTCTAAGTCACTCATGCAGAGGCCAGAGCTGTCACATCCCTGCAGAGCTGTCCCACATAGGAACCAAACTCTAGTCCTCTTCAGGAGCAGTAGGCACTTTTAAACACCCTCAGGCTCAGGCTAGGCGTTGGTGGCACATGCCTTTAATCCCAGCACTCAGGATGCAGAAGCAAGGGGATCTCTGTGAGTTGGAGGCCAGCCTGGTCAACAGAGGGAGTGCCAGGATAGGCTCCAACAACCCCAAAACAAAACAAACAAACAAGGAAGGAAGGAAGGAAGGAAGGAAGGAAGGAAGGAAGGAAGGAAGGAAGGAAAAGAAAAAAAACCCACCTCCAGGCTCTACTGATAATCCTTTAAGGGATGTACATTGTGGTTGTTTATCAAATACATGAATTGGGATGTCATGTAAACAGTAAATATAAAAGATAAATTGGGCAGCACATATACTAAAATTGGAATGATACAGAGATTAGCATGGCCCCTGCACAAGGACGACATGCAAATTCGTGAAGCGTTCCATATTTTTAAAAAAGATAAAATTAGAAGATGATATTTTGAGAAATCATTTCACTTTCCATTCTAAGATGCTTGACAAATGACCAGCTTTGGAAAGAGTTGAACTGACAATTTTATTAATACATGAAGGCAGTTTTTATATGCACATCCCACTTTAACATAGCTAGAAATTGTTTGATTAATGTACATAATTCTGGAAGTTTGAATTGTTTATAGCTACCAAACATAAGCTGAAATTATGTTTCGCTCATTTTTATATGTTAGCCATTAACATGAACAATATTCTTCAAGTAACCCTGGGATGTGGTTTTCCGCTAGACATGTTTTTCAGTACAGTTGGGTGTCATCCCACGAGATGTGATGAGTTTGGAAAGGACAGCCCTGATCAATACTTAGCAGGATTGCTGGACCTTGCTCAGAACCACAAGGGGAAAGTTGTAGCAATAGGGGAATGTGGACTAGGTAAGTTCTGGCTTTGATACTTGGCATTCATCTGAAAATAACTGCTTGTTATATGAAACCCTGAATAATGATTATTCTTTATCTTTTAAAGATTTTGACCGCCTGCAGTTTTGTTCCAAAGATACTCAACTCAAGTAAGGAATTTGTTGATTTTAGAAACAGTTCTAAGCTCCTAAGTATGGCTTTAATTTTTCAAAGTAACATCAATTGAACATGTAGGGTTAGATATCAAGGTGTGTTTGCTTTCCAAGCATATATGAAAAGTTAAGCAAAACAAAGTCCACACATCTTTGAATGTCATTAATAATGCCCAACCGATCAACCATTGGGTTTTGTTAAGAACAGAGATGAGGAAAAGGCTTGCTTTGGTTGTGGAGAGTTGTCTATCGAGTCATAGCAGTATCTCTAACAGCCTCCCTGTCCCACCTTTTCCTTAGCCTGTTAGAGCCAGTTCTCTTGTGTAGGAGGAATTTGCTGTGGGCATTTTTCTCTGGCCTTTAAAAGTTAATATTATGTAGATTAAAAACAAACAAACAAACCAACCAGGTATCAGACAAGATTTCAGAATGAGGGTACTTGGGCGACCCTGGAAGGGTTGAGGCCATCTAGGCTGTCCAGCAGCTGGGAGGGGATTGCACCCACAGTGCTGCACACTGGACTTTTGGAGCGCGTCAGTCCTAGCTAGTAACAGCTGCTGCCCCAACACTGACCTTTGCAAGCTCTGTCTTTAGTGTGGACCCAAGCTGTCGGAGCACTGAGTCACCCTAGCTAGCAGAGCGTTGACAGAGTGGGCAGATGTCAATCCAGAATGATTTTCATTTATGAAACGGAAGAAGTTATAAGTAAGATAAACAGAGCCCCACAACTTAGGTCATTGGGTTTTGTTTGCTTGTTTTCCCTTAAAGGCACCGCTATTTGATGTCATGTTACCCTCCGTCTGCACTGCCAGGGGTTTACTTTGTTTTGCCCACGTGCAGGTTTTCTTTTTTAAGAGTCTTATTTTTGTGAGGGAGCAGGAATGCCAGTCATGCTTGTGGAGGTCAGACTTGGTTCTCTGGTTCTGCTTTGGTGTGTTCTGGGATTGAACTCAGGTGTCAGCCTTTCATCATCGTGGTCCTCAGGCAGCAAATGCCTTTTCCTGCCAAGTCATCTCACCAGCCCCACCCACCCTTCTGCTGTCCCTCCCTCCCCCTCCCTCCCTCCCTTCTCTCCCTCATCCCTCCCTTTCCCTTTCCCCCTCTCCCCTCCATACACATACCACATGACCTCTTAATGGTACCTATCTAGCTTGAACTCAGGGCTTTCTTTCTCTTGAATTATATAAAATTTCTGGGTACACTGTCTGGGCTTCGGCTATTTTAATGAATTATACATTTGTCTCCCTTCTACTTTCTAAACTCTTTAGTTCTGTAAGGTAGTGACTTGGTTCTGTGTCTGAGCCATGGAATTATGCATGATTAACACCTTGGAGAGATCATTGCTTGTTGGATAGCTGGGGCCACCTGCATGGTCACATTTACAATGACAGAGCACAGGTACTACTTTAGTGGCTGTGGAAGAGGTGGCTAGTAGTTAATTCTTAGGGTTTTTGTTAAACAGGTTTCATGTGGCCCAGGTTAAAGATAAGCTTAAACTTGTGATTGTGTCTGTCTCCACCTCCCAAATGCTGAAAACACAGTCCTGATCTGCTGCACTTGCTTTCATGTGAGTCCTGCCGGGGATATGGCCAGGCTCTGCACACTGGGCAAGGGCTCTACCCACCTGGCTCTGCATGCTGGGCAAGGGCTCTACCCACCTGGCTCTGCATGCTGGGCAAGGGCTCTACCCACCTGGCTCTGTCCCCAGCCCACTACCAGTAATTCTGAATCTTCTAATGTTTTATGTTTCCTAACCTGCAAATACTGTCACTTTAACTGAGACAAAATTGCTTTGCTTGTCCTAGCCCAGCAGATCTGAGGTGATTTAGAGACCGGAACATTAGTTAATAAAGGCAGAGAGCACCAATTTTAGATTCGGAGGCCGATGGACACTGTGTTTGCAATCCTAGTGAATGAAGCATCCCGTGTGGCAGAAAAGAACACGATGATTTTTAAAATCTGAATTTACTGTTTTCATATTCCCATTTCTAGATAATAAAATGCCCTTAGTTAAAACTTATTTGACATATGTGTCATGCTAAAATGAAATTTTTAGTGTGAAATTGTTTTGAATTGTGCAGATACTTCGAAAAACAATTTGAACTGTCAGAACAGACACAATTACCAATGTTTCTTCATTGTCGGAACTCACATGCTGAGTTTCTGGGTGAGTTAAAAGTGAAATGTCATTATGGTTTGAGAGCTGGGTGGCAATTAGGCTAAAGCAGCTGAAAGGTTTGTTTGTTTTCTCAATTCACAGACATAATGAGAAGAAATAGAGATAGGTGTGTGGGTGGAGTGGTAAGTATAAATGACTTTTAAATATGGGATTTACAAGTATGTCTTTGTTATTAAGGTTGCTTTGGCTGATTCAGATATCAAAAGTAAAGTTACTGAGTCTTTAAAATTGACAAATGTAAATTTACTATTGGATTTATAGGCCAGATGGTCTATAGACAAGTCTCAATATTACTGCACTTCTTGTCATAGTACAAGAGTAAGGACAAACTCTACTCACAAGGACAGTGCGAGTGTGCACATTCTATCCCATCCCTGTGCGCTCTTTTCCTGCCTGTCTACGCGTTAGGGAAACATAAGCCAGTGTTTACGACGTTTCATTCTGATTTCTTTCCTAACTTGCGAGCCCCTAGCCTCTCTTCTCGCCCTGATTTGAGGCTCACCCACCACCATGTGTATTCCGGTCCAATTTTTTTTTTTTTTTTTTTTTTTTTTTTTTTTTCTTGACAGGGTTTCTCTGTGTGGCCCTGGCTGTCCTACAACTCACTTTGTAGGTCAGGCTGGCTTCAAACTCATGAGAGATCCGCCTGCCTCTGCCTCCAGAGTGCTGGGACTAAAGGCATCTGCCACCACCTCCCGGCTCAGGCATTACTCTTGAGACATTTTCCATAAATAGTCTCTGCTAAAACTTGGTTGTGGTATTTCTGGTAGTGATTTCTGGTCATTTCGGATCTTAGGCCCCAGTAGATAATCTGCCTTAAAAAAACTGCTCACGCATACAGAATTTCAAATACAATTTCTGGAGATTCGGTGATCATCTCTTGGGTACAGGTTGTTACTTAGGTATTTAAATCACACTGTCAAGGACATAGGACTTAACCGGAACATTTACTGTAATACTTACATGGCTTCGCTTGGACCCTTTTATCCACAAAGCCCTTTCTGTTTTGAAACTTTAAGAACACACTCAAAGTTTTTATCCCATTTAATGTGTGTGTGAGCGTGTACACACATGTGCCATGGCGTTTGTGTGGACGTCCTCTCCTCCTACCACGAGTGTCTCGGAACTGCATTCTGGCCATCAGGCTTGGCGCCTTCGCCCAGAGAGCCATCTTGTTGCTCCGGTGTGTTTTTCAGGGCTTTCCTCGCTTGGCTTTCCATGTCCCAGAGAGAGGAGTGGGTTCTTCCTGTTGCTGTCAAGTCAGTGTAGCTTTGGGCATCTCCTCTGTAGTCACTAGTCTGTGTGCTCTGTAATTTTCCCTCAGGACCTATACTTAGGAATTGAGAAAGGTTTTAATTAATGACCTGGGCATTACTGACAGCATTATTGTAATTTCTAGACTCTACCTCTCACTCATGTAAAACTTTATGCAGATGAGTCTATAACTTCAAAAAGTTAACACCAGGAACAGCAAAGCCAGCCGAATGTCTGGCTTTAATAAAAGAAATTGCCAAGTAAGGCATTAACAACAAGTGATCTGAACTGGCTTATGAGAAACCACATTTTAAATTATCCTTACATTACTGGAAGGTTTTTTTGTTTTTTTTTTCCACTGGAAATGCTGGGGGGAGGTCAAATCTTGCAGGCAGCTGTCTCACGTAGCCGAGAACATGTTCTCCGTGGACACTGGTGACCTGGCTTCATTTGTGAAGGACTGTTCCTGTCAGTTACTGCTTTTTTGCTACACTAAAGCAGGAGGAAAGGAAGCGCGAAGCCCTTTTCCCCTGTGTAGCTGATGTGGATGATGTAACAGCTGTCATTTTTTACTTTACTGTTTTGTATACACACTTGAAAGTACTCACCAAGGCCAGAAGGGGGCATCAGACCCCCTGGAGTTGGGTTCCAGGTGATTTTGATTGTGAGTGCTAGGAATTGAAGTCAGGTCTGCTGAGTCATCCTTCCAGACCCATAATTGACAATTAAAACCAACATCCTCACCACTTTATAGAGCTTCTAAAACTTCCCTTGTAACGATTAATCATGTCTCCTCTAAGAAAAGTATCCTGTAGCAGAGGAATGTAGTGCGATTTCTGTACATTTTAAGTGTTTTTGTTTAAATTGTGTACTCAAGTATCTTAGACCCTCCCTCCTCCTGCGGAGTGGGGATCCCTTTCTTGTGTCTTTCCTGGAGAGTCTGTGAGGGGATGATGTGCAGAGAGGGTGATGAGAGGCACCCCAGTCAGCTGCCGAGAAGTCTTAGGCAGCTAACGCCTTGCTTTGTGTCATCAGAAATGATGACAGGCTGTGATTACCAAGTCTGGTTTGAAAGAAAAGCATTGATAGTATGTGCTCCCACATTAAAAACCCTGTGAACCAAACCCTTGCATAGATTTCTGCTTTTGTTTAGAACATATGTCAATGCTATTGTGGATGTTAAGATTACTGTAATAACGCACAAACACATATATGTATCTCCCTAGGTGCATTCATTTGATGGAACTAAGGAAGCTGCAGCTGCTTTGATTGACTTGGACCTTTACATAGGATTTAACGGTTGGTGCGTTCTTAGGCTGTTTGCTTTCTGGTTTTTATATTAGCAGATTTATTAACGTTTGTGTGCCCTGCATTGATCCTTATCTGAGAATCTTGGTAACTACTTATGTAAGATGTGAGTAGTGGGTTGTTATTACAGGCCAGTGCTCAGAAGTTCCATGCTGTTGTTACGCTGTAGTCTGATACTGGGAAAAATTGTGTTGTGGTCAGCCACTGACTTCCTTTAGCAATCCAGTCTGCCTTCAGGGTGCCTACGCCTCTCATAGACATTCACAGCATTTTACATAAGGCACACTTGTTGGCCCTGGGAAAAGAGTATTCTATGACAGTCATTGTATATTTCTGTAGGTCACAGAGTTAGGGAACAGGTGTACAATTACCCCAAGTGTGAGAACCTGTCCTCTGGCTCACGCCAGTGACCTTTCTTCCTCTGTAACTCCACACTGGACTTCAGCCTCGCAAGTCAGCAGTACAGCAAGGCCCTGGCCCTGTTTTCTGTAAGATGCCAGCGTCTTCTACAGGTTGTCTTCTTAGGAAGTCGGTGAAGACAGGGTACAGAGTAGACTAGGACTTGCCTTCCCTCCTCATTGTTGCCCTTCCGATGGTCACTGGTGACATTAGGTATAAATTCTTAGACAGAATGGTGGCATAGCTTATTCCTATAGAGCTCAGGGTGATTCTTTCCTAAGAAAAAGAATCTTTCTGTTTAATTTATCAGTTGATAGTCAAACAAACATCCATAGTGATTAACAAGTCAAGCGTACCAAAGACTCAGAGGCGGTTCCTGCTCCCTCCCCCAGCCTGCCTCCCCCTCAGTCAGTTTACAGCAGGCACCTGCCTATCTGCCCCTGAGTCTCTGCGGCCTCCCACTGTCTGTGTCCTCAGGGCACACGCCACACTGACCCCGCTTCGCTGCTGCCTGTCTCCCAGAGTATGTCAGGACCCTGGGCCTTAGGTGGTCACCGCTTCCGTGCCCACTGCTGCCCACGTGGTGGACTATGCCGCTCTTCTTTACATGCGACGCTTCTGTTTTCTTGGAGTAACTGGCAACTGGCCTCCTATTTTATTTCCTTGATTTCAAAACTTGAAGCCCAGCCAGGCACAGTGGCCCAGGCTTCTAATCTCAATTCTCGGGAAGCCGAAGCAGGAGGATGGGGAGTTGGAGGCTGGCCTGGGCTACATACACAGTGAGTCACTATTTTACAAAACAAGAGAAGCTGAGGCTTTCTGGCACTTTCTATAGCTCTATGCAAGTGTCTTATTTGGTTTCCCATGAGGGAGCCTATTTAGAGTTTGTTGGTTCCTCTTCTGTGATAGAACCCACATTTCTACTTCTCAGGTTCTCATGCATTCTGGTGTGGGTTGTGTTCATTCTGCCCTGCGCTGGGATGAACTCTCAGGGAGCCTGGGCTGGCTGCGAGCTATGGATGATGGGGAGGGCCCTGACTACTCCTGCCTCCTGCCCTGACACACATGTGAACTACCATGGTGTCACCTGTTGGCTTTGGCGAACACACTCCTGCCTCCTGAGGAAGTTTTCGTGAGAAGTAGGTTGGTTTTGTTCTTAAAAGTGTGCTTGGATAGTTAGTCAGAGGGAGGGAACCCACTTTGGATTCTCTAGTAGGCTCTGGGGCTACTCAGAGTCCCTTGCCTGTGACCATCTGTGCTTTTCCTGTGTAGGCTTTAGATTAGTTTGTGTGGGATTTCACAGCTGTGTCTTGATGTGGGGACTTTATTTTTCTCTTCATCCTATTACTCTTTTATTGGCCCCTTGTAGCTGGAGCCTCTCTCTCTCTTTTTTTAATCACTTCTGGGAATATCCTTTCTTTTTTGGGGGACATCTCAGAATTGGTAACTGGTATTATCTTTTCTATAACTTCCATTTCTACTTTAACACCTTCCAAAATTTGCTTTATTTTCAACTTTTTAAGATGAGATCTACTTCAGCTTTCATTTCTAGCTCTAACATTCTCTCCTATACCACAGTCTGGACAGATGGAAGCCCTTTTCATACCGTTCTGTTGCTTTTATCTTGGTCTGTCTCCTAATGTGGTTGGTCTTTTTTATGATGGGGACTTTCTCCAAATGCCAGGCAGTCTTTTGATGTTTGGGGAGGAAAAGAGCAAGTTGGACATAGTGGCCCATGCCTACCCCGCAGTTACAAGGCAAGTCTGAGGCCGGCCTAGGCTACGTGACATATCGTCACAGACAAGTTTTTGGAAGCTCTGAGTGAGTGAGTCAACTGGCAAGCTTAGGTGACAGCGTAGAGGCCTTTGCCTGGGTTGGTTTGCTCTAGGAGGAGAGCCTATGTGTGCTCTTTGCTTATGAGTATGGCGCTGCTCTGGAGCAGAGTGAGACTCTGCCTTCATCTTCAGTCCCGGGTCCTGCTCTGCTGTGCTTGCTGCCCCCAAACCCTTCCGACCCGTGTGCCTCACCATTCTCTGCCCAGACTTCAAACCATCTGAGCTCCCATTCCCTGTCCCAGCTCAGCATTCTGGGTACCGACTTCTGGGGTATTGCTGAGGTGCAATCTGTCTGCTAGTCTCTCTCTGGCTTGTAGCACTGAAGTCACTTAGCACTTAAAGGTTATTGTTTCCCCTTTTGTGATTTGCTTTATCATGATCAGTTGGGGTAATGGTGTTTACTAGTTTCACTAAAAAAATGTTGGGTGAGGTGATTATGAAGGAACAGTAAAAAGATGGGTGGTTGCCAGGATCGAGACAGTTGGGATGAATACACAAAGCGCACAGGACTTGTAGACAGGAAAACTGCTCTGTAGGAGAGATGCCATTTCCACAGAGGGTATACCAGGTATGAACTAACTCCTGGGCTTTGGATGGTGGTGATGGTTGATTCTAACCAGTGTAACCACTGTGGTAGAATTTAGTGTGTGGGTGGCTGTGTTTACATGGGGGTGGGGAGGGGCATGAGGGGTCTGTTGTGTTCAGGTTAGCTAAGAACCTAAAATTGTTTTGAAATGTGTTCTCACTGAAATGTGATTATATATTTTTAAAAATACAAGGATAGTGCTTCTCATCACATTGATTACTAAATCATTCCATTACCCACTGGCAAGTTAAAGGCATACATTCCCACTTGGTGGTCTGGTGAGCTGGGTCTGGCTGCCATGCTTTCTTTCCGGGCACTCAGTTGAAAAGGTAACTATCCGTGATGCTGCTCAGACATTACAGCGCCCAGTCTAAGCACAGAAGGTACACTATGGCCATGCGACCCCGTTATCCCAAAGCCACATTCAAGGCCAAGGCCACATTCAAGGAGCGGGGTTTGGCCACAAGCCAAATATCTAAGTACAAATATCTAAGTCTTAATTTAGACACTGAGGACTTGAAAGCCATAATAGTCTTTCAGTGGCTGAAAATAAGTTCAGAAAGTCAAAGTTGACAGTCTCAATGCTCATTCTGTTACATAAAAAAATTTTTTTACATAAATTTTACTTAGGCTAATATATGAAGTTTATTAAAGTTCAACTGGTAAGCATGATGAAAACGATATCCCATAAAGGCATGAATAAGCAGTATGCCCCATCCTAACTCCATGACTCCATCAGACCGCCACAATAAAGAAGTGTTGGGGCTGGACAGGTGGCTCAGGGTTAAGAGCACCTGCTCTCTTCCAAAGGACCTGAGTTCAGTTCCCAGCACCCACACTAAGTGGCTTGCAAGGAATCTGCTGGCCTCGGGTTACCCACACATGACATTCACATGGTGTGCACACATGCCTATCCACACTAAGTAAAACTAATATTTTTTAAATGTTACAGAAGAGACAGAAATAGAGGTAGATTTGAAGTTGACTATGATCTGGGCTCTGAAGAATAAGAATGTATTCTTTGTGACTTTCTAACTTAAAAATGTCTTATTCACTAAATATTCTTAAATATAATGTTTTAAAGCTCATTAAAAACGGAAGCTAACTTGGAAGTTCTGAAGTCCATACCTAGTGAAAAGCTAATGATTGAAACAGGTAAGCTGATGTTTTCAGAAATTCAAGTTTTATATATGCCCTCCCCCCCAAAAAAATTTACAGGGTATTTGACTTATAGTTTCAATCTCAATATATGAATTTTGCTTTTAGATTGTTGAAAGTTATTATTGTTGGAAAAGTAGTTACACAGATTTTTATTTTCAGTTTGGCTAATCCTCAAAACTTAAAATAGATGACAGAATCTGATAATTTCTGTCATTACGAATATTTAGTGAAGAGAGTCCCCTAAGCACGTCACGTCAGGGTTTGAGATACTCTTTTATAGTGGCTTAACTCTACAACCCTTACAAACTGCAGCAACTGAAACCAAAGGCTTCGAAGTAAGGACTTTAGGGTTTCCTCTTAAAACAAGTTCAAAAGCCAAGACTCTGACCGGAGCCTGTAACTCGGGCACTGCTGTTATAAGGTCTGTAGACTGAGCCACTCTAGAGAAACTCAGTTTACTTCCTTAGACAGTCACAAAACGGTCTCATTGACAGTACACTGCTGTAGAATGTGTAAGCCATTTGAAAAGAAATCACAGGAAAAGAGCTCAGTGGCGGAACAGCTGCCTGGTGTCCCTGGGAGACACACAGGTCTTCACGGTCATGCTTTCTTAGGCAGTAGTAGCAACACAGCATCTTAAAACGGTGAAGCATTTCAGTGATACTTCTTGTACATTTAGGCACCCCCCCACGCATGTCATGCATTAGGAAGGAAAGCGCCTCCCCCCATGCATGTCATGCATTAGGAAGGAAAGCGCCCCCCCACGCATGTCATGCATTAGGAAGGAAAGCGCCCCCCCATGTCATGCATTAGGAAGGAAAGCATCCCCCCCATGCATGTCATGCATTAGGAAGGAAAGCGCCTCCCCCCACGCATGTCATGCATTAGGAAGGAAAGCGCCTCCCCCCACGCATGTCATGCATTAGGAAGGAAAGCACCCCCACGCATGTCATGCATTAGGAAGGAAAGCATCCCCCCACGCATGTCATGCATTAGGAAGGAAAGCGCCCCCCACGCATGTCATGCATTAGGAAGGAAAGCGCCCCCCCATGCATGTCATGCATTAGGAAGGAAAGCGCCCCCCCATGTCATGCATTAGGAAGGAAAGCATCCCCCCCATGCATGTCATGCATTAGGAAGGAAAGCGCCCCCCCATGCATGTCATGCATTAGGAAGGAAAGCGCCCCCCACGCATGTCATGCATTAGGAAGGAAAGCGCCTCCCCCCATGCATGTCATGCATTAGGAAGGAAAGCGCCCCCCCACGCATGTCATGCATTAGGAAGGAAAGCGCCTCCCCCCATGCATGTCATGCATTAGGAAGGAAAGCGCCCCCCCACGCATGTCATGCATTAGGAAGGAAAGCGCCCCCCCACGCATGTCATGCATTAGGAAGGAAAGCGCCCCCCCACGCATGTCATGCATTAGGAAGGAAAGCGCCTCCCCACGCATGTCATGCATTAGGAAGGAAAGCGCCTCCCCCCACGCATGTCATGCATTAGGAAGGAAAGCGCCTCCCCCCACGCATGTCATGCATTAGGAAGGAAAGCGCCTCCCCCCACGCATGTCATGCATTAGGAAGGAAAGCGCCTCCCCCCACGCATGTCATGCATTAGGAAGGAAAGCATCCCCCCCACGCATGTCATGCATTAGGAAGGAAAGCATCCCCCCCACACATGTCATGCATTAGGAAGGAAATAAAATAGATAAAAATCAGTGTTTCTCCCGGCTGCAGCTTGGAACTTTATGCTTTTCTTAGAACTGTTTCCTATTGCATTAATTTTGCCATTTTGGAAGTTAGATAATAGCTTATAATTTTAGGTTATATACTAATGTAATGTTCATGAAAGAGATTTAGAAAAGTAAATTCCTTAACACCTTCTTTCCCCTTCCCCCAATTCTAGATGCGCCTTGGTGTGGAGTTAAAAGTACACATGCTGGATCAAAATACATAAAGACTTCATTTCCTACCAAAAAGAAATGGGAAAACGGGTACTGTTTAAAGGATAGAAACGAGCCCTGCCATATAATGTAAGTGGTTGTTTGCTGTCAGAGATGGCCATGGAGTCAGTGGAGGGGCAGAGTCAAGCTCCTCTGGCATTCCAGTCAGGTTCGGGTTAGTTCACACAAATGTGCTGCGCACTGTGGTATTGATAAGCCATTATCCACTGGCACTTGACCCAAAGTCAAGTTCAGGTCTAAGGCCACTGGAATAGTGGTTTGGAAATATGTGTCCCTGGACTGCAGTGTCATCTCAGGTTCACATTCTTTCCATCCAAATGATTTCACTGCCTTGATGAGAAATCTGTGGCTTTGGTCATTTGTCACTTTGTAGGAAAAGAGAAAAGACCTTAAAGCTTGCCATAGTCAGTACAATGTACCTTCCCTGCTACTGTTTATAACCTGTTGGCCGACCTTTAGTTAATGGTTATCTGCAAGTTAAATATGGACAGCAGCAACAATTCCAGGGAGCTACCATAGTTCTTGAAGCCTCACAATGAAATGATGTCCTTTCCTCAACCTCCCCTGGAAAAATATACTAACCCAGAATAGGGTATATGTAGAGAGCTGTGAAGAATCTCCTGGCAAACAAGAAAAGTTGGTTATATCATTTGATGGGCACCTATCCAAAGTGAGTCTACATTATATTGGAGCAAACAGTCCAAGGTAGTAGAGGTGTCAGTCTATGACTGGGACCCTGGAGTACAACTGTCCTGGGAGCACTCCTGGGAGCTTGCTTTACTAATGTGGAATCTGAGCTGCTTATTTACTAAGCATGGCTGCGGTCAGGTCAGATACAAACACGTTGAGCACAGGCAGACTGTAGAAGAGCCTGGCAGTGTCAGGGGACAATGGACTTAGTGTGCCAGAAAGTAGGATAAGCTGAATGGAAGAAGAGAGATCTGGGACAGCAAAGCGAGACCAGATCCTTGGGGCTTTTGTCCGGCAGCCGGTTAGGTTTCATCATGACCCAAAGAGACTAAAAACAAGAGAATGCTGATTTTTATTTGAGTCAGGGTCTCATGTAGGCCAGGCAGCTTAGAAGTTGCTGTGCAGCAGCAGATGACCTTGAATCCCTAATCCCCTACCTGTGTCTCCCAACTGTTGGGTTCCTCTCCAATCACCATGTCTACATCTCTTTTCTAGAGTTAACTGCTTGTCGTTGTGGGGAATGCTGAAGGGTGATGGGCAGAGTCTGCAAGACTTTAATGCCTGTGCCTACTGTAAGGGTGTCACAGTAGGGGCTGGATAGATGGCTCAGAGATTAAGGGCACTCCCTAACACCGTCATCGCGTGAGTGTGCGCGTGTGTATGCGGGCGCGCCTGTGTGGACTAAACCCAAAGGAGAAAGGTTCTTCGCCGGTATTATGTGCAGCATACACTTCATCTTTAGGATGCTCATTACTCAGTGCTGTGACCTACAGTTTTGAAGCCTCCCACCCCAGGACAGTTGCATTAGTGCTGCACTTACAGGACCCTGGTTTTTAGGTTATAATGCATGTTAGCCCCAGAACTTTCTTATTACCAGTAACTGGTAGTGTTTTCCTACCGATATTACTGACAACTTATTTAAAACCTTAAATTTCCTTAGGAAGGGTACAAGATCTTTCCTTACAAAGGACTCTATACTTTTGAAACAATATAGTCTTACAAGGTTGGTCCTTTTGTGTTTTGTTTTAGTCAAATATTGGAGATAATGGCAGCTGTAAGAGAAGAGGACCCACTAGAATTAGCCAACACGCTATATAACAACACCATTAAAATCTTTTTTTCCTGATACTTACTTGTCCGCCTTTCCTTTTTATGATGTGGAATTTCTAGTAAAATTGCAGGCGTCATTGGGCCATCTGCCCAGCCATTTCTGAACTGGCCACACTACACTCACCCTCACTTTGCATGGAGTCGCAGCAGCACTGTTTAGGCTGTTATTGCCTTAGTTAGCTATGACCGCCTTTTCTGTTGTGTAATTTCATCAAAAGTCTCAAAGGACAGTGATGTTTTTACCTAAAGTGCACACAGTACATCCACGTTTATATCAAAACTTAGATGGTAACAAGCCTATTTCTCAATTCCCTGCCTGACTCGTGACTTTTGAATCCAGTTCTAAGCTGCAGCTCAGATTTCAAGTTTCTCAGTTGCTGCTAGCAGGTTAAAAAAAAAAAATTAATAGCCTTTCTAATTCAAATTATTTTATCTCACCTCTAATTTTATACTGAAGCGCCTTTATCTTGCATTTTCATTTTTCCACTCGTTTTAAAGGAACACTAGGGTCCAGCATTAGATATAGTCTAACTCCCTGGAGGAATCTTTGGCACAGCTGACGCACCATATGCCCATTATCTCTATTAAGAAGTTATTTGTTCAACTTTTGTCATAAAAACGTGAAAACATTTTATTCTATGTACAATAATGTACACAAATTTAAATAGGTCACCAAAGAGACCAGAAGTAATTAAAGAGGTATATTTACAGTAGCACATCACAGTAAACGGAAAATCATTCACAGTTTCAACATCGATACTGTTTTTGTGCTTGGTTACACACTGACATGAAGCATATTACTCCATTTTGGATGAACTGAATTTTAAACAAATACCTCAATGATTAGTAAATGCTACTTTAATCAGTGTCATCATTAAATTCTGCTGCTGCTGCTGCGCCCGTGTGCTGAATCCTTCCATTTCTTTCCCTTTGAACATCATCATCGCAGTCTGTACTGTCATCATCGTTCAGTTCTCGGTCGGATCCAGCAGCATCTTCTCTTAAAGCTTCCTCTGGGTTCTGATTTTCATTGGGTGCAATAAATCCATTGTTGTTAGAAATATTTGAATTATCCTTGATATCATCTTCGATGTACACTTTTTGATGGCACATTGGACAAGTGTCTTGAATGTACAGCCATTTCCGAAGACAGAGTGCATGGAAGTAATGATTACATGGTGTAATCCGAGCAGATGTTGTAAACTCATGATAGCAGATTGCACAGACATCATCTATTTCTTGCAAGTGGCTCCCTTTTATTTCAGGAAGTGAATTGATTTTCTTAACGGCAGTTCTACGATTCATGAATGTCTTCCAGCCGTTTTTTACTTGTAGGTAGATGTTAAAATATGCATGTAGGCACATCATACAAGCCCGGATTTTACTTCCTGACTCAAACATCATGGTATAGGCCCCATTCCCAAACATTACTACTCCAAATATAAATTCGATAATGTTGCCTGTCGAGCGAACAAAGTAGACATAATCGTCGAGCTTTTCCCAGAGGACATTATAGTAGCCATCAATCATGAAGAGCGTATAAACAGTGAGAGAAACTATTACTTTCAAGCAGAGTTCCACACAGAAGGCTGTCACTGCAAACAGCCATGTGTTTAGTGCATAGTGATGCCAAAGGACATAGCTGAGTAAAACAGGAAGAATGAACAGGCAAGCAGAGACAAACAGCACAGGGAAATGTCTATGGAATGACGACACATGGGAGGCACTGAGAGACATCAACACGGGGTCTGTCATTCCGTGGATGAAATGCAGGACCGCAGTTAATAAAAGGCACATGTTTCTACTTAAGCGAATAAGTCTCTCCTCAGGTCTCAGCCCACTTAAACCAGTCTGAAGAGCCAAAATGAAAAACAAAACAGGTGCTACAAAGCCAAGCCTCCTGTCGTCTTCTTCGGTTGATCCAATAAAGGCCAATATTCCAAGGCCCAAGTAATGGGCTACTGAAGAAATGACAGCACTCATGCCTAGTACAGTTAGTGTAGAATCACACCCACTAATTATCAGATTGCAAATGAGGTCCCAGAAATCATCCCAAGAAATAAACATGGACTCAGTTTCATTTGCCATCCTTAAAATGTATATTAACACTGTAGCCTGAGCTGTGATTCTTGTTAGCCAGAAGACCCGAAGTATGTCTGGGAAACGAATCCTCTTCCACGTGTCCTCCATCAGTAACTGTAATCCATAAATTCGGTACATGTGTCTCACTAAGAGGTAAACATACCGTGTGGAATAATAAAACCACTTAAGTTTCACTGCCAAGACAAGCACTGTATTTAATATGAGAATCAAAGACGAGGTGAACACTAAAGTCTCTCTCATGTGTAATGGCAGCTCTGTGATTAAGCCAATTACAGGAACCAAGATATTCAAAATAATCAACTGTGAATAGATGGACTGGATCTGGAGCAGCGTGACATATCCAATTCCAAAGGTTAGCTGCAGGACGGTGAGTGCCATCCACAGCGAGGGCCCTTTCCGAGGGAGCAGCTCGATGCCAAAAGCTGACGTGTGGTAGGCGCCATAGAAGTCAATGTGCAAAGCGGCATAGTAATTCACCAGCACTGCCGCTGCAGCTAATAGAAAGGCCGAGCCGTACATGTAAAACTTGAAAAGTGACCGCTGGGACAAGATGAGCACAGTACTGGACACAATTATACCTAAGGAGGAAGGACATCATCCAGTGAAACATTTTATACTAGCAAGTATAACCTTCTTCCTTTATTATGTTAAAACTCAACACAATTTAAGAGTTCCAAAAACCAGACCAACTAAAGACGTCATTTAAAAAAACCTGGTCATGAGATTACTAAGTTGTCTTCAAGACAAATGTGTAATGATATGCACGTTTCTGTTAAGTTTTAAAACTCAAAAGGGCACAGCACAGCTATGTATTTTCATAATCATTAAAAAGTTTAATGCAGAACCACAAAAATAGACCACTGAGTAAGAATGACAGAAGCAAAGTCTCGTTTCTACTTGGCAAAGTGTTCCTCAGGCAATCCGGTGAAGTTTTCTACTCAGTACCCCCTTTCTACCAACTGAACTCCGAAGGTCCCCAGTACTTAACTTCACATTTTGGAAATGTTCTCCAAGGTCTCTTTCCTACAAATTACAGAATCACTTCAATAGCAAAAGTAACACTCAGAAAAATTAAGCCACGTTTTAAAAAATGGCTCTAAACATCACTCCCATCATTCTATATGTAACTACTATAAATGATCTGATGACCCATATCAAGTGCCATCATTGTACTCTGCCTAAATAGACAGTTTTTAAAGTGAAATCACCATTAATACATTACAGGGATGAAATAAAACTATTTACCTAGTCTTTTTTACCCGCCTTTTCCAGAACCTAATTTCAATACGAGTCCCATTATTCTAACGATGCTCTGGGCTCTACACCCTCAAACTTGGCTTCCTAACACACACTACTGTGCACATGCTCCTTCTTCTGCCATGATTACACCTGTATTTACAGTCCTTAGAATGGAAGCCCCATCCTTCTTCATCCCTGACTCCAAATCCAACCTATCCTAAACACCCTTTTGTAGTTACTGTCTATTCAGCATATCCACATAACTTTTTGACATACCTAGTATATATACAACCTGATACTGATTTTGTAATTATCCATGTAGGCATCACCCCATTACAGTTATATCCCTGCCTTACAAACAAATGGATCCCATAATGCTTTATACCAAAGACAGATTTATTTATTGGGGCAATGTTTCAGTACCATATGCACTATGCTCTTAAAGATGATCACAAAATATAGCCTGACTGAAAACTGCAACCTAGGAAAGTGGGTAGAGAACTAAGAAGCCATAAACACCGAGTAGCTTTCCCTTTAGTGTACCATCTTGAAGAATGCTCTATTTCACAGCCTATGCATATATCAAAAAAAAAAAAAAAAAAAAAAAAAAAAAAAACCTGGAGTGATGATTAGTTCTTTTAAGGAAATATTCTATGTGTAAATAATTCAGGTCCTTTGTGAAGAGAAAAAGCATGCCTGCCTGAATACACACACACTCCTGCTCCCACACATGCCTGCAAATGTGACTGCTTGCCCAAGGGATGGGATTGTTTGGAGCATGAGCAGCTGCCCTGGAATGGAGCTGGTACTACTTCGGCCTGCAAGAGGCCATCTGCTACCTCACTTTCTCTGCATGGGAAATCCCAAGCCTAATTTATCTTCTAAGTTGAGCCAAAAACAAAGTAACTTAAGTTCTATTTTATGCCACTTAAAGAGAAAAAGTAAAACAGGTACTAAAATGTTTTGTGTCTGCTGTGCAGTATCAGCCCCCACCACTAACTATTCATGACCTTAGTTGAACTTTCATAGTCCTTTTAAAGCCTAATATCCTTTTCTCTGAATCTTAGTCATACATACAAATAAAGGAATAGCTTGACTATTAGGAATGCATGTGCAGAAACACTTGCTATATATGTACCAAACAAACCACTAACCTCCAAGTCTGGATATGGCCTAACAAGTAATCTGATCCCTCCCTTCCTCCAAAATCCGGGCCTCGCTATACATACTCCAGGCTGGCCTCAAACCTGTACCTGCTTCAGCCTCCTAGCTGCTCGGAATGGAGGCACATGCCACCACCCCTGGGCTTGGCACTACTGTTCCCTGAGCAAAATGACACTCTCAGTGTGTAATTAACAACCCCTCCAAAGAGGCACAGTTATCATAATTCCTCCCCAAAGTCTACACACAGATCTACTTGGGAGAACAAACTCCCCAAACAGGAAGTCTCCAAAGTAAGCGTTTCTATTGGTGATCTTTGAGGGGCACTGTTAGGTTTTTTTACATTCCACAGCTTCAGACATGAGGTCTCTTCTTAGGGTCCATTTAAAAGTCTAATGAAGCCCAGGGGGAGTCTTCATTAGGGACCATAAGGGACAAACTTTCTTTAAAACACCACCTCAGGATGCAGAAAGAGAATCAAATTAAACCACAGCTTGGGAATTTCAGGCCTCGGC